CATGACATCTTATAGATGGCCTAGGTCTCCCAGTTGACACCCAAAATTAGGGAGTCTGGATAAGTCCTATGATGGCATCTCAGCCATCAGTCTGGTGTCCAAGAGCTCCCCTTGGTTTAGGCCTACTGTCTCTGTGGGTCTCATCAGCCTGGTCTTGACCGCTTTGCACATCACTCCACCCACTCTGTCACTGGGTTTCAGAACTTCCGTTCAATGTTTAGCTGTGGGTGTTTGTCTCTGCTCCTATCAGACACTGGATGAAAATTCTAGTATCCCATATAAGGTAGTCATCATACTCATTATCAGGGTATTTTAGGTAGCCTCTCCACTATTGCTTAGTTAGCCAGTTGGTGTCATCTTTATGCTCCCTTCTTAATCACCCTAATATTGTAGCTCCAGCTGACCAGCAGTGATTGTCAAACTGTCCTTTTTCATAATGAGTTCAGATGACAAGCATGTGGCAGTATCTGGGATCTTTGGGTCTTGGTTAACTTCAGGTGTCACCTTTAACTCTCTTTTTTCTCTTACCTTAAATAACATCCTTAAAGGTCTGCAACTTATATAGATTTCAAATTCTTTCCATCTCATCTGCACAAATCCCATCATTTCCCATGCCACGTATATGGTTGGTTACTGAGATCAGTCTTTGCAAAGCAAGTTCTGTAAATAAAGGAACAGTAAAAAGCATTTTGAACTTTTTATCCTGTTTAATGAGTCTTCCATTCTCAGCAGGAAGTCTGGCAGCAGGGAAATCCTATATGTGTGCTTACATTACTCACCAGGAGACCTAGTATCCCTAAGGAATCAGGGGTTGATTTTAACAAATGGAATGGCTGACTACAAAGAAGCAGCCATTTTGTGGGGGTGGAGCTTGCTGAGGCTGTCTTGCTGCTGCTATGCTGCCTGCCATCACCTCCATCACAGGGACCCAAGAAGAGTAAAACTGATAATGAAGTATAAATATAATGGTTTTCTTAACAGCTAAAAGTACAGAGATTAAAAATACCTCAACAGGCAACCTGGTCTTCTCCATGGTAATCACTGCTGTATTGGGGACTATCAGCTGTTCTATTAAGTATGAAGCTGTTGGCCATTTGCTATTGTTTCCCATTGGTTAGCTCTGATGTAATTATTGATCCATAATTACTAATTCATATTTTTATTAGTACTCATCTTTCTGAGAACTCAGAATTGTGTCCTGTCTTCCCAGGAATCACATGGCAATGGCTCCCTTTACTACATTTCCCAGAATCCTCCTAGACTCCTAGTTCTACCTATCATGCTTCCCTATTGACCAAAAGTGCTTTATTTACATATACATAGGAATTCCTCATCAAACATCCATTTTGTCACCTCATGAATAAATTCCACCCTACGCCATGACCAGTTTGTTCTTGCCCCCATGACCTCATATGGTGTCTATCAATTTGAAAAATAGGAAGAGAGAGACCACTTGTCCTAATAATCATGGGAAATTAGTTAACTCAGCTTTCTTATTCATGTACAGAGGCTGACACCCCTAAGACAGTGTTTGTGAGAATAGCATTGGAGGTGAGGAAGATAAGGCTTTCCTCAAAATTTAAAATAGTTAGAAACACCCATGACATCATGGAGAACCCAAATATACAACCGAATATATGATTAAAGAACACAGTAAGTGGCAAAAGAATGGTAAAACTCCTGCAGTCTTTACAAGGAAACATCTGTACAGTAAGCATAGAAATTCTTGAGAAAAATCAGCAGTAGAGAGAATGAAGCAGAAGAACACAAGGGCTGAAAATCAAGATGGGTGCATTGACATATTCAGACACTAATACATTCAATGAAATGACCACAGCCCCTCCACCAAAAAAGAAGTGTCTAGGAGGATTATTTTGGGGACAAACAGGAATGCATCAATCTTGAGGAATATGCACAAACTAAAGCCCAGGAAGACCACCACACTTCCATTGCACATGTGCAGTGAGCACCATTTATGCAGTGAACTGTCATTTATGCCTGAGGAAGAAGGAGCATGTTGGTGTTTACCAGTGTTGCTTAACAATAGCTGTTCCACCCTGTTTCTGTTAAACTGGTTAAGCCAGAGTTTCTCTCTTGTGGGAGTAGTGGAGATTGGCTCTGGTTTTTGACACTGAATGGTGAAAGCTCACCATCCAATAAGATTATACACATTCACCTTACAGAAGGTTGGTGACACACATGTTCTCCACCCTGAAGAAGCTCTTCTGCTTTAAGAAAGGGCCAAGAACCCCATTGGGGTTTTGGGATGGCCCAAGCTGTGAAATCCAGGGAACATTTTTCTGGTGTGGCTATGCAAGTGAGGACAGGTACTGACAGTCATATGACCCAGAAAATCCCTTCCATGAGGCAGTGTGTGCTGGGAAAGTGACAGAGGCACTGTACCTGCTGGCAAGAAGACATTTTAATGTGAAAGACAAGGACACTGGAAAAGGTAAGAACACTTGGCACCTAGGGATGAGGGTCCTTGAGGAAATTGGGGGATGGGAGAAACTTACCTTTCCTAGCTCAATTGAGGACAACAGGAGTGAGTCGAGCCCAGCTATGCATTCTGTACTACAGTCTCTTTGCTTCCTGTGATCACACACATGTCCGGTGTTCAGATCTTCTGGAACAGAAGAACTGTGAAACCAAATCTCCAACAGGTTTACTGTCACCGCATAATTCCCCTTTGGAGCATCTTCTTTAGGAGCTTTGAGTATAGAACAGAATCATATAAGAAAAGCATAAAGAAACTGGGATTTAATTTCAAAGTACGTAAGAATTACAATGTATGTATACTGTAGAAAGTACAAAATTGAATCAATATTCCTCATAACTTTATTTCCTCCAACTTAAACCTATCCAGGAAAACAAACAATGAGCCTTTTTATCAATGATTTTATTTTACCAACATTTGTATTTTTATATGAAGAATACAAATATATAAACTTGAAAGATGGTTGAGGGCTCCTTTTTCTCCTCCTACTCATTCATTATCTTGTTGTTTCTCACTAGTGTCCTAGGGATATCACTCTCCATCTCAGTAGATTTGCAAGATTTCTCTTAGGTCTCTTCACTCCATGCTTCATACAGTTCTGCAGGCTTATTTGCACTACCTGATCAGCCACCATTTTTAAGTACACTCTGTGGTGACAAGCTCCAAATTCCCTGAACATTACTTCTGATGCTTATTCTTGCTTTTGAAAGGGGGAATAGAGCTTTCTGGGAATGTCATGATTTACAAACCAACCATGTATCTTGTTTTTCTGATATTGGTTTAACTCGAGGTGGCCCAAAATGTCCGAATCTCACTTGTGGAATTCATATTAGATGTGGATATTAGGCCTAGCAAATATCTAGCTCCTTTATTTTTTATGAACTTACTTATTGTTAAATATAAAGTATACCTATTTGATTTGAAATACTACACGTATGTCCTTTGACTTGAAGTTTAGATTTTGTTGTTTATACTTTTCAATTTTTGTGAATAGTACTTTTCGTAGATATTTTTTTCCATTTCATGATTTCTGTTTTATTTAAAAAACAATTTTATGTCACATATCAATCCCTGTTCCCTCTCACTCCCATCTTCCCATGCTGCCCACTGACACCCACATCCCACCTCAAATCTACACCCCAGGTATGATGAGGCCTTCCATTGGGGATCATCAAAGCCGCTCATATCTGAATAGTGCAAAGTGATGCAATTGATGCATCCTAACTGGACAGAAGTATTGCCTTTGTCACCAGTTTTATGGACGTAAAGACTGAGAAGCAGTTAGGTGATAAAAGAGTTCAGAGCAGGAAGAAAATCCAATAGCAGTTCAAGACAATAGTCTTGTTCTTTCTGTTCCAATAGGTTGTTCTTGACTACATAGCTCAGTGATAGAGCACATATCTAGTATGCAACAGCTGTGAGTTTTATTCTCACTGTCACAACTGTTCTATATAGAAAATTGTTCAAATATAGCAAATTATAAGAACAAAAACTATATTTATAGAATGAAGTGGATTTAAACGGTTAAATACTATTTCTAAACACATGAGTGACTCTGTATGTTGACATAGTACCCTACAATTTTCATTAAAAATCCTTCTCATTCCCACAGAACTGCACTCCACTTTGCCTGCTTCTATGGACATCTGGATCTTGTTTATTTCCTGTTACATATGGACAGTGAGATCAATGCCCTTGATAAGAAGAATGCCACAACTCCTATGAAGGTAATTCACAGATTTAATTTCTGTAATTAAGTAGGTCTTAGCGGTGATAATGAAAGTGAAATTAGTGTCACTTAAATAGAGGTCATGGTGAAAACTCTGGGAGACCATATTAAATTCTTTGATTCCACATTTTTTCTTTGTCACAATATCGACAGGCTGTACAGAGCAAAGAGTAAGAAATTGTCTCTGTACATTTTGATCAAGGAGCTGCTACAAATATTAAAGACTTCAATGTAGGCACTGTTTGTGGATAGCCTACCTATTGTCAGCAGGCTTCTTAAATGTGGGGGAGATATTGAAGAAAAAACAAAGGTAAAGATTTTGCAAATCAAATGCCCAAGTACTTGGACACTATGTCCTTTAACAGTGTCATGTATATGGTCAATTTTTCATGTTTACAAGTTCAATTATTCCTTGAAATTACGTGATTGGTGTTCATTTAGATATTCACACTTGGTTATTGTTTGTTTGCTCTTTAACGCCTTGAGTCTTATTTATCCTGCCCACACACTCGTGGGTATACGACCATTCACTGGAGCTAGTTCAGATCACGTTGTCTACACATTTAATGGAGAATGAATGCCCCCTCCCAACAGCTATCAAGTGTCACTAAGACCTCAGCTAACAGCAGAACTTTTTGGGAAATTCCTGTTTGCATAATGAAATTCTGTGTAACTTGAGTTTCCATGTGAGTGGTCTCACAGAGATTATGATGTCATATGAACATAAAGTGGGTTGTGCCCTGGAGACACTTTCTTCATAAGTCATCCATTATACCTGGCTCCAACAGGATTCACCCTGATCTTATAGTGATCCCAAATATTTGACAGGGGGGTTATATCAATGAGGAATGAAGATGAGTGGGTATAGAAGAGGGTGAATTGGGAAAGTAGTTGAGGGAATGGGATGAATGTCTTAAAATTACATCAAATGGAACTCTCCAAAATGGTTTGTCATGGGTAAGAAATAAATATTGATTTATAGATAGAAGTATTAGAGCATATAACTTTCTTTATGGAGTCATGGCAAGTGTTTGAAAAAATAGGTAATAGGCTGAGTGGTTTATTTCACATACACTGACAGGTTACTATATATTACTGGAAAAGCACAGGCACAGGATCTTGAGACAGCTTTGCACACACTGTCTATCATCAACAGTGTGAGAAATGAATGAGCTCATGCACACTGTTTACTACTGAGCACTAAAATCTAGCACAGTCATTTTCCCAAACTGGGTAGTAAATCAGTGGTGTAGGAATGAAAGTTGGGAGCCCATTCCAAATAGAGGGATGCTCTCTCAACCTGGGCACATGGGCAAGGGCCTACGTCCTGCCCTGGATGAAAAGACAGACTCTGGAGATCCCCGCAAAGAGGGCCTAACCCTTGACAGGGAATGATATGGGGATTGGGTGGGTGACTGAAGTGGGGGGCTGATGTAGCGACAAGGGAGGTGGGGTGGGAGAGGGAGCTGGGATTGATATGTGAAGCATTCATGTTTCTAAGTTAGATAAAAACATATATTGAGGAAAAGAAATAGAAAAAAGAAACCCAAGGATATGGAACAGTGCAGTCCATTCATACCCTCATTTTCTTTCATGAATCCAGTGCACACTCAACCTCCAGCAGAAATTTAGACACCTGGTTTCATCCTGAGTGTAAAAAGTCACATCTTTTGTCTTTTTGCCCCTAACTCTACACACATACTACTTACACAGATTTAGTAAAGTATAGTAAATTCACTTCTTAAATAATTTAATCTACTCTATCATTCTAGAACAATACTCATATGTGCAGTTAAATGGGATTTTAAATCCTTGTTGACATTTTACTCAAGAATGGCCCTGATGTATGCAATTGTGGGAAAGTGTCATGTGAAAATATACAAGTTAATGGGCTAATTGTCACCAAATTTAGGCAAGAACTAATTACCAATGTTATATTTTAACCACTTGTGCCGTCATGATTTAAATATATTTGTACCAATGTCATACTTTAGCCAGGTGTGACTTCATTATGTAAGTACATTTGTGATGGGATTATTTTAGTCAAATGCACCTGCCATGTGACAAGCAAGGGGAAGATATGTCAGGGATAGCAATATCTGGAGGACAATATCTCAAGGCTTATCTATGGTGATCCATCGAATCACACCCAGGGACCTGCATAGAAAGTTTTGCATGTACAAGTCATATGTGGCAGACATGAGAAAACTTAGGAAACAATTATTCGTGTAGATTTGCTGCAATTAAAACTGTCCTTCAGTTGGGTGTTAATGAAACATGACAATCATGGTTCACCTACCCTTTTTGATCACTGTGTCATTATCATAACTGTCATGGAGTCATAAGGTAGTCCACATGACCATGTGTTTTTAAAGTTCACATTTTTACTGATATAATGTACTGTGCTCAGTCAGATAAGACTCAAGATTCCTGCAGAGTCATTGCTGGGAATCTGAACATTATCACATATTCAAATTATCTCAGTATTTTAGAAGACGGTCACAGCATCTTACTTTGGAGGAGTCTCTCTTCCATCAAATGGGTTTGTGGATATATTAGTTATCAGCTCAATCCAAACATTTATAGACAGAGGGCAGAAATGCTTTCTCACATTCATAGTAATCTCTATAGAAGGTCCTTGACATCATTTTCTGTAGCACACTCTCTTTTAGTATAGATCTCTAGCATCTTTCTTTTCTTGTGGAATGACAGGAAGTGTTCAGTCTACCAAATACTTTTCCATATTATGGGACATTTTTATGTCGCTTTATTCTGTCCCTCAAGAATTCAGTATATATGCCTCATCTTCTTCAGAAATAGACACTAAATATAATTCTCAGAATCTACACTATAATAACTGTATAGTGTATAAGGGCCATCACAGCTCATGGGCATACTTACTGTATGCATTAAAGATGATTTCTTACTTCAGTTTAAGTTGGGGGTAAGCATAGATTTTCAGGATCCTTATGACAAAAGTCAGAATTGTGTTACCTTCATGGCTAAAGTAAGTCCAGCAATAGACCAAACTATTTCTTGGAATATGTTAGTGTTCTCATCTTGTGTTTATTCTTTGGTTCAGAAAAACTAATTTCTGCATCTTGCAGTTTTTGATATTAAACCAATTTCAAGAATTATTCACTGGTTTTCCTTCAGGATTCCAATCAGTTCAAGAATGAGAAGCAAATTAGATGCTATTTTACTAAGGCTATGCCTGTTTTAGGTGGCGGGATATTCACAACAATCGGCTAAACTAACGTAGCAAAATCCTGAGTTTTTGGAAGCCGAAGTTCGAGTGTCAGGAAACACTTTTCCAGAACAAGCAGACTGAGGACTCCTTCCAGTATCAGGGTACTTTCTATCCTGTCAAGATAATCTGGATGGTTTGAACTGTATTGCCCTTGAATCAACACCATTTCCCTTTGTTCTTATCCTCTAAAATGAGAAACTTTGTAAAACCTTTTAGAGCTTACCAATTTCTAAGCATATGTTCAAATAACCTGACAGAATCTCTCACAATTATTGAAATACTCTTGACCATCTAATATATTAATAAATATTTTCCTATCAGTATTGAGTTAGTAAGTTCTTCTATGACCCTTTCTCTACTTGGCAGAAAGAGGGCTGTTGTGGACAATGGGATGTCCCTCTTCTCAAGAAAACAGGATGCTTTCCCAGGTACGTCTTCTTGTAGTTTCTTTCTATGTATTTCTTCCTTACATAGAAACAATTGGATTCAAGAATTTGATTGTCTTTAATTAGGCGTTGTTTGGGTACATGAAAAACAGAGTATCGCTGGAATTTTGAGGAAGATTTTTAATGAGCTTCCTGAATAATGGCCAAAGAGCTATCTTTAATGGCTCTATAAGTATGTATTTCCATCAAAATGAATGAGTTTCTCCTTACCCTACAACCTCAAAGAGGAGGGCTTTAAAAATGCATTTTAATTATGATATAATTTTTTCACTTTCCTCCTTTCCTTGCCTCACTCTGATTCCTCCCAGGCAGTTTTAAAAACCAAGTAGTTACTGAAATCTAGTATATCGAGGAAATAGTTTTTTGAATCTGGGTTTTATAAAAAGTTCATTAGTTTTGCACTGGAAATATATATTCACATGCAAAATAATTTTACTATAAAATATTAACATATTCTACATTTACTTAATTTTTCACTACATTATATTGACATTCATTAATTCATTTATATTTTATTTTATGAGTGAGTGTTTTTTTGCATGTACAGTAGACATGTACACCATGTTCATGTGTGGTGCTTGTGTCAGTTAGGAGATGGTTCTTTAATTTGTGGAACTGTAGTCACTGATTTTTGACAAATACCACGTAGGATTGGGAACTGAACCCAGGCCTTCTAGAAAAGAAACACATTCTCTTGGCTTGTACTAACACACATTATACCTCTATAAAAACACATTACACCTCTATAAAAACACATTTTTATGATACAGTAATAGTGAATGCATCAGTAAGTGAACATGATTTCTTTGTTTCAAATTCCACAGAAAGAGTCAATTGTATGACTAAAACAAGACTCAATATTAAATCATGTTATGACTTCCTTTCCTGAGTATGATAAAAAGTAATGCTTACTTTTCTGTGCATTTTAAATAAAGTATATTTAGATCACATTCCCATTTCCCTTTCTTCCCTCCCGGACTCCACATATTGAAAATTCTTTCATATCCCTTCAAGTCTCAAACTGATAGTCTCTTCTTCCTTTGAAATTACTGGAGCAGTTTCTGGGGGGGTGGGGGAGTACAGGAGGGAGAGGGAGCTAGGATTGACATGTGAAGCAAGCTTCTTTCTAATTTACGTATAATATTGTTAAATGCCACCCCCACACATATATAACTACAACCTACTGTATTTAGTTTTTTTGTATTTACCGAGATTTAGTGATGACTACAATTTTATTGGACAAGCAATTAAGGGTTCTTTCCTAAGAGACTCATTCTCCCTGTCTCAGCAGTCATTCGTTTTCTTCAATTCCTTTTCTAGAAGCATGAATCTCTGAAATTCCTCCAAATATTCTCTCTAAGCTAGTCTATTGATATTGTCTATGTTCAGTTCTTGTTTATTCCTCCATTGCTGTGAAAGATTGTTTCACAGAAGATTTTCTGATGCTTATACTCTTTCCTCCTAGCTCTTGTATGATGTTCTCTGATCCGTAGGTGCTGGAGTCGAAATGTAGATGTATCCACTGCTCTCTGTTTAATCTCTGCTTGATATCCACTGGTACATTCTGGTGATGCTATAGAGAGAACCCAGTTTTAGAGTGTCTGTGGATCATCTTTATCTTCTTAGAAAAACAACTCATATTCTTTTATTCTTTGTACTGTTTTCTTCATTTCTGTTGAATTTATTATTTCTGCTTTATTTTTTTTGGTTTTTATGAGACAGGATTTCTCTGTATTGTTTTGGAGGCTATCGGTCCAGCCTGGCCTCGAACTCACAGAGATCTGCCTGCCTCTGCCTCCCAAGTGCTGGGATTAAAGGCGTGTGCCACCACCTCCTGGCATGCTTTAATTTTTATTAATCCTTGCAATCTACTGGTTGTGGGCTTGGCTTGTTCTTATTTTGAGATTAGTTATATGCATTATTGGGTCATATATTTGTTTATAGGCATACTAGAGTTTTGTTTGCTGTCAGTTTTAACTTTCAGTACTCAATTGTCATATAGGATATATAGAGTTATTTTACTTTTCTGAATTTCCTGAGGCTTCCTTTGTTTACAGGCATATGCTACATTGAAGACGAGCTTCTATATGATGATGTGTAGCATATGTATTCTGTAGAGCTCAGGCAGAATATTATCTTAGTTTTCAGTTTGATCCATTGGATGAAGGTATCATTTAATTCTAAGGTGTTATGGCTATATTCTCTCTGTATGTACCATCTATTGGAAAAATTGTTGCTTGATATTATATTGTATTACTGGTTCTATGTTGATCAATATTTTTATTTCCATTTGGTATTTTATTATAAATTTCACATACAGAATTTGGAATACATATATATTATGTATTTGTAATATGTGTGTATGTGTGTGTGTGTGTGTGTGAGAGAGAGAGAGAGAGAGAGAGAGAGAGAGAGAGAGAGAGAGAGAGAGAGAGAGAGAGAGAGAGAGAGAGAGAGATCCCAAGCTGGCCTCCTAGCCATCAGTCCAAGAGCTCTGCCTTGTACAAGTCAGCTGTTTCAGTGGGTTAAACCAGTCCAGTCTTGACCTCTTTACTCATCAGTCCTCCGTCAGAGTGGATACACTGTTAAGGTGGTGGTTTTACACGTGATTATGTCCAATGGTGACAAAAGCATCAGTTGAATTTCTACCTTATTGCACAATGGGTAAGAATGAGAAAAGAACAACGATCATTGTCTCAGGTTCTCTCTGATAGGCTGCATCATCCCTGGATGAAGAATTGCAGCCATGTGTCGGGAGTAGATTTTTTTGTGTCACAAAAATATATATTTATACTGTCTTCAAACTGATCTTGGTACTATAGTCAAGAAAATTCCTGTCTTTGATGTTTATTTATGAGAGTCTATGGCCCTCTTGACTTAAGTTGTAATTGTCACTGTACATTGTCACCTATTTTGAAGTATCAAATGCTAATACTTTCTCTCATTCTTTTATTTGATGAATTCAAAGAGGTGATGATTTCCTAATGGATTTGTTCTATTTTAGTACCATAGTTAGTATTTGCACTAGAAGCTACTTCATGAATAAGTATTATGTTTCACATAGTAATATCTACTTAAGTATGTTTTACTATTGATTCAATATATGGCATCAGAATAAAGACATCTTTTCATCAGGGTAAGATTTTAAGGTGTATGAATGTTAACTTACAATTTGAATCAGGGAAAAGAAGCTAGTGTTGACTGAATATTTAATTCATCAATGGATTCCATCTGATTCAACTAATGTATATGAGATATTAATATAATGATACGTTTTAAAGCATTCATATCCATGCGACTAGGTGTCTTGCTACCTTAATAGAGGTCATCCAGACAGTTTGATTAATTACGTGGTCCCACAGTTAACAAATTGCCAGCTCATGACAGCACTGTCAGACTGTATTCTCTTACTCATCTGACTACAGTAAGATGGTTCCATGAGGAAAATCATGGTTTTTTTTCTTTTTATTATGTTCTTTTTTCTCTATGACAGTAAGCATCTTGGAATTTATACTGTACATCTATTTCTCTTCATTTTTGAAGATGTTTAGTTTAGAGTTTTCTGCTATTTATTCCTTCTTCATTTGCTAGAGAATTTCAGGTCTTCAAATTTTTGGTTTTTCAAGGAAACTTGAAACCTACTTAAAACATCTTGAGAATATCAACCTCATTATTCTAAAAAAATAGTTGTTTTGATGAAAACCCAAATCTAAAAACTAGTATCCTATGAGGTGGAAATACAAATAGCCCAGTTTAGATTCACATGTGTTCTTTTACTGTAAGAGCAGTCCTTGCTTACAATATTTGGTTTAATGTTTCTGTTTGAAATTATGTTAGTGGGTCAAGTGTGCTAAGTGAAAGAGCATCAGAATGGATTTGTACATTTTGAATATCTTTCACCAGGGAAGGACTATTTCAAAAGGACCATCATGGAGATAAATGGAAAGAAGAATTTGGCCTCAAGATGAATTTTTTTTTCAAAACAACCAAGTTCGTACCATAGGTTACAGGATATTGAAAATCAACTTCAACTACATAGGGTTGGCAGTGATTTGGAAACCATGAAGCCTTTTGTGCTTAATTGATAGAAATGACTCCTAACCAAGTTCTTCTGTTGCAAGTTACTCGATGCCCATGAGTCTGAATAGAAAAGAGGAATGAGGTGTCACAGAGTTCTGACTACAGCAAGTTCAGTGCTAAGGACTGGAAGGAGCTGAATGGAAAGTATCTATGATCCCAGGCACCTGCTTCTTTTCCTGTATTCTTTGCTAACATCATACATATCATTTCCAGTTTGGAGTGTGTAGCACTCTAGTAACATGTCTAGGCTTGGAATGTGTGTTGCTAATCCTCAATTAGCTTATTTGTCTGAACCAGGGAATTAGCTGCTTTTCAGGTTCTTTGAGCCTATACATTCAGGAATCTGCACCTTCCTGGGATGTATAAATAAAGGCTGAAAAGCATCGCTGAAGACTGCATAAAACTGTCTTTGAGGGTGAGGTGTGTTTCTTGTATGCAGCAGAAGGATGGGTTCTGTCTTCGAATCCATTCTGCTAGCCTGTGTCTTTTAATGGATGAGTTAAGGCCAATAATGTTGAGGGATATTAATGACCATTGAATGCTCATTCTTCTTCGATTTGCAATCGTTGGTGGTGGTGGAATTATGTGTGGAATTTCATCCCTTTGTTCTTTTGGCAGTTGGTAGAGAGGGATTCTCTAATGCCTGTATTTTTCTGGTTGTAGTTAACTTCCTTGTGTTGGAGTTTTCCTTCTGAAAATTTCTTTAGGGCTGGGTTAGTGGAAACATATTGCTTGAATCTAGTTTTGTCATGGAATATCTTGTTTTCTCCATCTATAGTGATTGAGAGCTTTGCCGGTTATAGTAGTCAAGGATGGCATCCATGGTCTCTTAGTGGTGGTAGAATATCTATCCAGGACCTTCTGGCTTTCAGAGTTTCCATGGAGAAGTCAGGTGTAATTCTGATAGGTCTGCCTTTATATTTTACTTGGCCTTTTTTGTTTGCTGCTCTTAATATTCTTTCTTTATACTGTATATTTGGGGTCTTGATTATTATGTGGCAAGGGGACTTTTTTGTGATCCACTCTATTATTATAAAGAAATATCTAAAAACAATGGAAACTCCATTTGCTATTCAAATAAGTAAAGATTCAAGACTGGAAAAAATTTATTTGTCCACTACTCACCTATTTTGTTGTGTGCTTACTTAAAACACAAAACTTCCTATTTGAGTCTTCGATTTCTGTGTTTCCAAGAATCAAGGAGAAATCTAATTATGAAACTCAGGTAATCAGAGCAAATTTTGACATAAATTCTTGGACTTAAATTCCCCTATGGAGTTTAAATGTTCAAATATAGCAGTTATCAAAATGTAGTCATTGTAGATGGAAAATTGTACAGATTTTTTAAAAATACACTTATGAGGGAATTAAGGTATTTAATAAATATGAGTCAAATTCTTTACCACTCAACACACAAACACAGCCCTTCTAGTTTACTGTGATATGCTATACATAAGTTCTTAAAGGGTGTAATTAAGATATGATTTTGAATTTTATTCCTTTCTTCCTGGATTTTATGAATATTGAAACCAGAATGAAATGTATTTCTAGTGTATTTGAAGACTTACATACCCTCCACTGGTGTAAAGGCAATAATGTTGCATCATAGAATCTAAATTAGTTCTAATAGTTCTTGTTGTATTAGTATGAAATTTAAATCCTATTGTTATGCTATTTAGAGGCTAGGTAATCTATGTGAATTTTAAATTGTCTTTCCAATATCCAACTGATATTTTGAAAATGATCAAAATATAGTTATCCAAGGACATTTGCTCTACAATTGCAAAACATAAGTATCTGGAACCTTACAGACATCGAATGAATGTTCTGATGCTTCCCTTCAAATTAATGCTTGTTATGCCATTTTGATACCCTGTATTTGCTGTGGAAGTCTTCATGATTTTATTGAATAATTATATTGTATACAGAAATGAAGATACTTTGCTTTTATAGTTTGTGCAATTATATTCTTTAACCTCTAAATTTTGACCAAACACTTTTTGCTTTGTACATCCTTCTTTTCATAAACAGTATTGAATCTAAAATATTTAATTTTTCTCCACATTGCATATTCTGTATTTTCTTCACAATTCACATCTCTTATTGTCATACCAATGTGATTTTCCCAAGATTTATTTTTAATAGTAAAACCTTTTGTATTACAAGGACACTAATTATTATTTGTAAAATGTGTTTTAAAACTTTGTTTCAGGGTTGATGAGTAATGTAACATTCATTTTATGAGTTTAATGCATTCTGGATGTCTCTAGATAATCATTTTTCTATTTCTGTTTCCAGGCTTGGTTTTTATCATATGTGATGATATAAATGGTACGAATTGGTTGTTCAAAAGATCATGCAGAATTTCATCTATGAAAATATTCTGATTTTTAAAACTTCTATTTTGATAAGATTAGTTGAATTCAAACTAGAGAATTCACCTATGTTCTCAAAAATCCGTTTCATTATTGTTGTGAATTTCAGCAAGATATTCCCCAGAATACTCTGGAAAATGGAGCAGATGACTTACCAAGAGCTTCCAAAGAATATGAAAATACGGAAGCAAAAGCTGGTAATGCACAGCCTTAACTTGAAAGATCATTTGCAGAGGTTTGCTTAAAACATGAAAACAGATACCTTAGTCAAATAAAATCACCTACTTAATTCATACTAAAACGGAATAAAAAAAGTGATGCAAGGCAAAAACAACTTTTATGCAAATTATAATAAAATGTCAGTAAGAGTTGACTTTGATTTTATTTCATTAAGTTTTTAATAAATTCATGCTTTTCTAGTATATTTACAACATTTTTACCCTTCCAACTGTTTTTTCAAATATTCCTATGCGAGACCTTAACAATTTTTGTGTGACTTCAGTTCTCTATTATCGGTAAAGATATTCCATGTTGTGCATGTGTGTGTGTAAGTGTGTGTGTGTGTGTGTGTGTGTGTGTGTGTATTTGTTACGTGTTGCTTATATGTCTATGTGTTTAGGACTGCCCCTTGCAATTATATAGTCTACTATAGAGTTTATAGAGTTCATTTCTAGAAAGACATATGATTTGTCTTTAGAAATAACTGATGTCAACAGATATCAATCGAGGAGTTGAGCATTATGAGGTCTCCTTCATCCATAGTTGCATTTCATCTGCTGTTCCTTATCCATGAATTTTTTCAGAAATAACATGTTTTAAATATCATGTTGGCCTCAGCCAAGTCATGCATAGAAGCTGCTGTGTAGCTTTAAGAGCCCTGGTACACTGATTTTAAAATATATCAGCCCAAGTGTTGCTATTTTTAATGAGCCTTAGCTTTAGGGTTGTGTATGAGTGCCATGAGCACATTATGGTCACGCTCTCCATTTTGATCACTTGCGGATGTGTTCAGTAAGTCTATGTGCTGCATAAAGCAACTTCTTTAAAGAAAAATGAGACATACATTTTTTGTGGATGTAGTCATGACTATAACAATCCTATTTAGAATCCAGGAACTACATTGTATTAAGAAAGTACTTGTAGTAGATGATCCCTATGGTCTGTGATTTCTCAGTCCATGGGAGTTTGGCTAGGATTCCTGTTCCATAAATGACGTGTTCTTTGAAAGAACCTAAAGACTAATGAGAGAGCTGTTGGTTTCCTTAAAACAAAAATGCCACTCTCACACCATGAAGGGAAATCTTACTAGGGTCATCGGATCTTCTTGTGTATCACATACTGCTGGTAGGATTAATGAGGCTCAACCCCCTTCGTAATTCTGCAATGTGTTCTCCTAGTATGAGAGTAGATTTCCATGTCAGTTATAGCTCAATTCCTCCAAATCCTGGGTCACAAATATGTGTCATCAGCAATAGAGTTTTAAAGTAAAACTTTGGGTCATTTCAATGAAAGAGGTTCAAGTATTACCCAAATCTTGTTAAGTGTCTTTTATTTATGTGTTCCTGAATGTGTGTAATTATGTGTTTGTGTGTGTGTGTGTGTGTGTGTGTATCAGTGTGAGAAACTGATTAATGTTCTCCATTCTATGACATTTGAAAATTTAGATTATATGTTTCTTGTTCATTTGTGTGAGGCGTATTCATTTCTGTATGAACTGGTCAAATATTTTGTTGTCTTGAAATTTTGACATGTAGTGTTTATACAGGTGATATAATGGTATTTCAAAACCTATCTCATTTTCTAAAGATATAAGTGTTCATTTTCAAAATATATTTAATTGAAATCTTTAATAACTGTAATCTTCTAAATTCTAATTATGAATGTGTTTCAATTACTGCCAGAGAATATTGTACATCTAATTGCTGTTTTTATTTTTGAATAAAACATGAGTTTGTCAGAAGAACTAGAATAAGAAACAATACCAGATTTAAAATTGGAAAATGAAGATGTCTTTGATAAGAATGAAGGATATGAAAAAGTGGTATGTACTTGCTTAAATTCACATTTCTTACTTAATACTGTTTGGTTTAATGATCTTACCATAGGGCAAATTAAAATATATTTCAGGCTACTATATGCAGTCAATACATGAGAAATTTAACATTAAAATGAAACACTTTTACCAACATGTATGCTTAGAGTCCAATCACACAGCTAAAACTCTTATTTTGGTGTTCAGTAAATAATTATGTGATTATGACTATGGTCTGCATTAAGTTCTTTGCATGGTTGGAGAGCCTCCTGAAATAGAGGATATAGAATTGAAAATTTCAGAAATGGATTCATTTCATAGAGTTGACTCAACATACAGACAAAAAATTTGTGATGTGATGATTATACTCACTACTGCCAAGGAGCAATATTTTCCTCATGGCCATCAGATTATTTCAAGGTCGTTATTTGAGGAGATAATATGATCCTGTATTTACCTGAACTGCCAAATAAGAAAGAAATTTTCCTTCTAGTAAGGAGGCTTAATTATGAGTAAGCAACTCAAATATTTTCATAATTCAGTGAATAAAATAAACTATTTCCACATTCTTGTCGAAAGTCCTTAATTCTTTATTAGGAATTGTGTCAATGTAGAGAATTCAAATAGATTTATAATTCTTTGGATTTTCCTTTTCCACAGTCTGTTCAGAGACACACCACCATGTTATTTGCTCCATGAAGTTTAAGGGCATTCTAAAGCCAATTTTAATGTAAACCTACACAAATCTCTATAGTGAATAAATATACTATGTTGAGAAATTAAGCAAGGAGTATTCCAGAAGGACACCTATGCTATAGTGATAGAACTCGAAAGAAGTAAAAATCAAGCATTTTAGTTTTAATTGATTTCTTAGGAAAGAAAATATGTGGTAGTTGAGGATGTTCATGGAAGATTAATCCAGAGCAAGAGTGAGAAAGGAAATTGGTCCCCAGATATCTAAGTATGAAAGGTAACTTGATTTAGAAGATGAGTGGGTGTCCATTCACTGACTGTCAAATAGGATGGCATTACTAGGCAAATGTAATTGCAGACAGCATCTTCTCATAACTTGTAAAATTCATAAATGATCAGAAAAGAAGATTTGGTCATTCTAGTAAAAATGTAGAAGATATGGTGAAAATTTGTTGCCTAAAATTTCTATTCCCTGAGAATTTTTTGTATATTAAAACTATTAATATTCTAATGTAACTATTTAAAGATTTTACAGCAAAAATCCTTGTCTTCATGGTTTTGATCCAGTATTTACCTCTTCTTAAGGAATTTAAAAGTGTCAGTTATTTTCATTTATTTTTACTGAAAATGAACCCCTTCAGCCTTTTACCTTTCATAATCAATATGATACAATACAAATACTTTTCATATGATACATATTTCATATGGAGTCTAAACAACATATAGCTATTGCATAACACTTCTTGATTAATTTTAATATTGTACAAGATAAATGAACCTACTAAAGAATTATAAACATTCTTATAATTAACATCCTTCAACTTTACTAGGAAGTACAAATTGGTTTTATGTGTTGTAATATAAAATCATTACATATATTGACATATACATATCAGGTATCACTCTGTTTGTGGATACTAATTTTCTGTACTATATTTTATGTGGATATTTTCGTTGGATGCACCAAAACTTGCATGAAGATACAAGTACAGAGCTAAGCCACTAAATGTTCATATAGGTCAGGCAGCAGAGGCACACTCCTTTAACCTTAGCACTTGAGAGACAGAGGCAAAGTGATTTCTATGTTTTAAAGGAAATTTTGTGCTAGAAGATATTGAATCAGTCTAAAAGAGAGACATAGCGCACAACTTTATTCCCAGTACTATGGATTTAGTGACAGGAGAGATATGACTGGCCAGAGAGTAAAAGAGAAACCAGGAAGAGACAGGAACTCAGAGGATTCAGACTGACATTTGCTAAGAGACAGCATTCAGTCTGATGATTTGTAGAGACAGGATATTGACCTATCTGTCATAGGATTTCCTAGAAGAAATAACTAGTAGCAAGCAGCTCTGCTTCTCAGATAGTCCAACATTTTCCCTTATATCTGACTCTGGGTTTTTATTATTAAGACCAGTTAGAATTCCAACTACAATATTACTCATTCATCATTAGTTTCCATGAGAAATGACAGATAGACTTAAATCCAACTGTGTCTGTAAGATTCCCCATTCACTTGTCATACTGCTTATATTTTATGAACAATTTCTTAAATTCAGATATATTAAATTCAGAGATAGAAAATGAGACCCTTATGATACACATTATTTATATCATTTTACAGAGTTCCTTTTACCTTATTCCACTGCAGGAATCTTCCGGAAAGGCTCCACACTCTTCCACCACAGGAAGTGATGCAGAAGTAAACCAGATGCGTCAAGCTAAGCATCATCATGAAGTCATTTTATGTAAAACAAACAGCTGGTATGTTAAACTAGCCAAAGAAATCAGGGAATAAATTCATACTTACAGCAATGATAGTGGTTATAAGACCCATATAGCTATAAAAGGGAGCAATGTGTAAAATTGAGGTAGTCACAGGATGATTTAAGAGTTTTCTTCTATGTGACATATTTAGGGTATTCATGGGTCTGCTTTGTCCATTGTCTCAACTATGCATAACTTAAGGATTCACACAGTAAAATCTCTTATTTGGAGACTTTTTCGTATTTATTTTATACACATAATTATTTAGGAAGCTTCTGCAGTAGTATGTTTCCATGTGACTTTTCAGGTGGAAATTAGTAAATTGCCCTTCCCATTTTATCCTCCTAGTGTCTATCTATTGGTGTGTATTCTATTTCCATTTATTGGAATGATCCTTTGCTGCATTCCCTTCTTGAAGCAGAATCTCTCTGGTCTGATGTATTTTGGCATACTTGTTGAAGGCTTAAATGCTAACACCCACACATAAGGGAATGTATGCCATATTTGGGTTTGGATCTGGGTCTCCTCACTCTCCATGATTTTTGCTTCATCTATTCATATGTAATCTTTCAAATTTCTAATTCTGATAGAGGCAAAATGATGGAAATCCATCACATTTTCATTATATATTTGTCAGTTAAAAGACATCTAGGCTCTTTCCAGAATCGGACTTACGTGAATAGATCAATAATGGACATTCCTGAGCAGGTATTTATGTAGTAGCACATAGAGTCTTTCCGTAAATGATGAAGAGATGTATGGGTGGACCTCAGGCTTCCAGAGAAAATCTCAAAGTGTTTTCTGTAATGGATGTACATGTTTGTATTCTCACCTGTAATGAATAAGTATTTGTTTTTCACCACATCCACACATGAATGAATAGTTTAGTTGATCTTAGCCCTTTAGACAGGAGCAAAATGAAGTCTCCATGAAGTTTTGGTTTGCATTATCCTGATTCTTGCCCATATGTTCTTCATGTTTTAAAATTTTTCTTTGTGTTCATCTGTATGATTTATATTAGGTTATTGGTTTTCTGGGAATCCAATTTTTTCTTCTTTATATATTTCAGATACTAACTGCATGTTAGATGTTTACTACCTAGCCCTGCTTTCTCATTCTGTACCCTGGTATCCTTTGCCATGAAGAATATTTCAGTGTTGTGGTCTTATGTGTTAAATGTGTGACATAGTGCTGTGCTACAGGTGCACTCTTCAGAAAGTATTTGCCTGTACCAGTGGCTTCAAGCCTATTCAACACCTTCTATTCTGTCATATACAAGGGCTATGGTCTTAGTTTGATACCCTGTGCTCATTTAAATTGAGTTCTGTTCTGGTTAATATATATAAACCTATGTTCATTCTGCTTTGAGCCTTCAAACAAGGTCTCTATCATGTTTGGGAGATGAAAGCAGAAGCAGAGATTCACAGCTAAGCACTGACACAAACTCCTGGAATCCAGCTGCAGAGAGGGAAGCATGAGCAGCAAAGAGGTCAAGACCATGCCATGGAAACCCACAGAAGGAGCTGACCTGAGCAATTGACTCAAGGACCCCAGTCTTGAAGCAGGGACCCAGCATAGGATCAAACCAGGCCCACTGAACATTGCTGTCATTTGGGAGTCCTAGGCTTTCAATGGAACCTCTGGAATTGGACCCAGTATTTATCTCTAGTGCATAACTGGACTTTGGGAGCCCATTCCCTATGGAAGGATACTCTCTCAGCCTAGATACAAAGGTTAAGGCGTAAGCCCTGCCACAAAATATGTGACAGACTTTGATTATCCTCCATGGAAGGCCTCTCATTACCTAAAATGAGGATGGGGTTTTGGTGAGGGGAATTCGATGACGGGAATAGAGAGAAGTGGGATTTGTATGTAAAATAAGATTGTTTTTAATTTAAATAAAAAATAATTTAAAAATACTACATATACAATGAATATATTATGTTATATTTATATAGAAAATATATATCTTTATGAAATTGCATCTATGTATATGATATAAAAGAAGGAGAAAATTGCCTAGGGGAATGTAAGGTTCTAAGAGTAGAGAGAAGAACAGAGTAAAACTGGGTGGTGCAGTGTGGAACATGATAAAGTACAATATATGCTACTATGAAAACATTCCCAGAGTCTCATTAGTACATGCAAAAATATGTACCAATTTTAAAGAATGACATGACTGGGTGTGGTATCACACACCATTAATTCCAGCAGAGATTACAAGTCAAGAGGGAAATCTCAGTTTGAAGTCAGACTGGGGTACATAGCAAGTTACAGGCCAGCCAGGCCTACATAGTGAGATCCTATCTCCAAACCAATAAGTAAAACACAAACACTGGATTGGAAAGTCATTAGGATAGAATGTAGACTAATGGTTAATAGGGAATGGGTCTTATTAGCTGATAGAATTTCAGTTTTGGAGAGAGAAATGTTAATGATAGGAATCATGCATTTAAATATGTCATTTTCTTTTTTTTTTTCTTTTTTGGTCTGATTTTATTGATTTCTTCCACCTTCCATTATTTTCCCAGGGAATTTTTGACCCCTTCCCCAGGCAAAACCAACCTTGGGCCACACCACTGGGCCCTCTGCCCTGTCCTCTTTATGGGAGGAGGAGAGTGGGCTGGAGGTCTCTTTCACCCATCAAACCCTAAGGCAAAGGGAAACTCCAAAACTACTGGACAAAGTCTGGCCGAGACTGGAGCTCTCTAATGGGAGAATCATCTGAACTTGGAGAGAGGTAGGGCTAGGAACAGAAAAGGAGGGGGTGTAAAAGGTTAAAGGTCTGAGCCATGGGGGTGTGGGATGCCCCCAGGGAGCTGTCAATCATTTTCCCACCCCACCACAACTCCCACATCCCTAAACTGGCCCTCAAACATAGAAACAACCGGTCTGTCCATCACCAAAGTCCCTCTGTCCCTTTCTTTTGGACTCTTGGCAGTAACCACTTTGCTCCCCTGGCCACCCGCTGAGGGCAGAGATGGAGCTGGCCATGCAACCTTCTGCAGTTAAGGCTTTTCCGGACGCCAGCCCTTGATTCCTCCGCAAAGATGAGAAGGGAATATCACCCCGACCTTTCAGGTGCTTGAAGATAACTGTCATTTGAGGTCCCTAGACATACTCCATTAAACGAAAAGAAAAATAAAAATTACAGACAAATCTGAGACTCAAGACACTCTCCTGGAGTCTTCACTCTTCCCGGGGACCCAATTTGCTCCCGGGTAGAATAGGTCAAATGCTCAGAGTTCTTCCAAGTTGATTTCCAAGTTGATACACTAGGATTTGAGGCCCTGGGGCTCTGGGACAGGGGGTCCTCCCATCTGCCACCTCCACAGCGGGTGGGCAGGGAGAGGCTTTGCAAAGAAAGGAAGCTGGCCCTAAGTCTCTGTCCTCTTCCACCACCAGGGCTGGGGTTCAGGGAAAGCAGTCGAGGAGGCTGAAGGTGATGGAGGTGGGGAGCATTGGGGTGGGCTTCCGGCGCTGCCTGGACAGGGTCTTCACCTGCTGCAGCCACAGATCCTGGTGCAGGCTGCTCCGAAGAATCTGGTTCCCGGGAGAGGCCCGCAGGTGGCAGGGAGGCCGGGAGCTGGGTTAATGGGGCAGACTGCTAGCTGCCTCAGGCTGGGACTCCAGACCCGGGGCTGGCCTGGGCAGCGACCAGGCAGAGCTGGTCGGAGATTCCCGAGGACGCCAGGGAGCAGGGCAGTGGCCAGGAGGTGCACAGGAACCGGCCCCGAAGTTAGGGAAGCTGCCTCTGCCCTCTTCCTCCTCTCCACCGCCTGGGCACACCGAGATGTCTGCATCCTCGGGAGCCGCGGAGCTCATGTCGCTGGGTTGCCTGGCCTGTTCCCCGAGGTGCTTCAGGCTGTCCGCGGCCCGGCCACCGGTGCATGGCAGGGCACAGGGCCCCAGCAGCACCGGGGTCCGCGGCGCCATCTCTCCAGGCCCCAGGCCTAGGGCGGATGGCCGGGGTTTGGCAAGGGCACAGAAGTCGAGGGCACAGAGGGGAGAACTCCGGGGTCCCCCGACATGGCTTCCGGGGCGTGGGAGGAGACGCGGGCACTGCCAGGCAGGGAGGAGGACACAGAGTCTCCATGGAGCAGCCTTGGGGGTCGCGCACTGTAGGGGCACTGGTCCCAAAGGCGGGATGTCCCTGTGGCCCGAAGAGCCCTTGGGCCAGGGGAACATCGCCCCCATTGACAGGGAGGTCTGTGCTCATGGGGGCCCTGGGCCCGCCACTCCTCTGGCTCCCTCTGAGGTCTCATCATGCAGCCCTCAAGGACTCCTGGGTCCCAGAGCATCCCCAGCTAGATCTGTTGTGCTTCCTGCTGCCTCCTTCCATGCGCACCCCCCTCAATGCTGAGGCAGGGGCAAACAATCCTGCTGGAGCTCATGGCCAGGGGAAGGACCCTGGCCCGGGGCCCAGCGGCAGGGAGGGCGCTTTCTGCCCTCTTGGCTTCTTTCTAAATATGGCATTTTCTTAGGACAGAGTGGCCATGGAGTGAAGGGAACATGATTTCAGTGTCTGTCTTGGTCTGATTGTAATTACACTGGATTTGTTTTAAATTCAATTAGCCAAGTTCATTTTACCTATGTATGCATGATACCTCACAATTAATGTGTTAAATAGGAGCTTTTCTAATCAATCTAAGTTCTGTGTGAATCTTTTGAATTTTTTGTTGTTATGTCTGAAACATCTGCTAGTGCCGTGGTAGATGGTAGAGTTAATGTTAAGATTTTTATTTCTGGGTGGAGGGACTTCATAATTCATATTGAGCGAAAAAGCAGTAATATTAGGAGGTGTTTGCGGTGGTGGTCTACCAATGAATTTCAGTGGGAAAGGCTTAGAAAAAATTCCTCTAGGAGAAAGTTCACTTAGAATACACCTGTTTCTCGGGGGGGGTTTTCTGATTATAGCATTGTGTACAAATTCCTTCAACTTTAATGAACCTATGTTGAAAATATAGTTTAAAGACAAAAACTTTTGTTACCAATTCTATAACCTGCCACTCTCTCACGCACGTGGTTGCAGTGATTTCCATATGGGGATGAGACTGAGGTTATGAGAACTTTCTCAGTTTTTCATTCAAAGCTTCAAGATTAGGATTTTCCACAGGACATTTCTGGTGCTCACAGCCATTAAACTGAAATCATCTC